TACCCCCCGCCCGGATCGCAGATCCGCCGGGGGCTAATTATAGGAACAAGTCAGAGTATTTTTTAGTAGGTTTTGTTTCATTGATTCATCTTTTCAGCAAAAATAGTAAAATAGATTCTAAGTGAAAAAAAAGTCATTTACAATATATAAACTAATTCCAAAAACACTTCAGACAAATTCCATGTTTCCTCAATCTACTTACCTGACATGAACCATCGACACAGACATCAGGGGAATCTGCATTACATCGTGTTCCATCTACAACTTGCAATGAGTGACGATAATAAAAATGTTCTCCTTTTGGCATGCAGTTCAATTCACATTTATTTGGTGCTAAGAATGAAAGGAAGTTGAAACGTTACAATTGATCGCAAGAATTGAAGCATTCATGATGAAATAATTAATTTTAACAATAGTGCCTTATTAAGATACTGCCACAAATGCTTAAGTTGTCATGGAAACAGTATTATTACCTCCTGTATATGGAACCCATTTATAGTATTTTCCTTCAAAGGGAACCTCATCATATTCTGAACACTGCTCGGCTCTGAAGTCTCTGGATCCCTCAGGACAGTCTTGGATATTACACGATCTGTAATTCCTATTTGCTCCAACACAACTATGTCCACCATCAGTTCTAAAATGAGATCAACACAAACAGTGGTTACAACTTACAACACACACATGGCTAATATATACACAAGTCCACTACTATTATTACGGTAAGTGCCAACATCGCACATATGCAAGATATTAACATTAAATGACTACTGTACCTGGTAACCTAGACTGGCACAGTCTGTGCGATTTATTTCTTTTTAAATTTAAAATTAAATAAAAAAAAATAAAAAATAGCGAAATGGAGGGGTTAACGAAAAATCCTCCCACCTTTCGCAAAACTATATTTTATTTTTTAAATCACCACAGTTGGGCCAGTCTACTGGTAACCCACTGTAAAAACATTTATTTTCACTGGTAATTAATTTTTTTTATGCTTTAAGCAATTTAACTTAGTTTTATGTTCATGAACTTAACTGGGAAACAAACTTTTCACATTGATTGATTTAATTACTTAAATAGCGAAATCAAAATTCAGTGAATAATCAATGCATTTACAGTATTATTTAGATACATTTGAGTTGCCATGTTATTTAATTTATTTTTAATTTATTTTATGTTATCTATGCAAGTCATATTGCAGTGAGCACAGGAAGTTAACTCTCACATTGGTTTTGTGATAGACCTGTAAAATAATCATTACATCAGACGTTTCGGTGAGTACTGAAATAACCAAACATAGTTAATCTATTGTAAGCAGTGAGTTAACAGTTATTTTTACACTGTGTATACGATTATTTTAATGAGAAATAGGACGATAGTTTAATCAACCATGTGTGGACAACAAATGCAGATATGTACAAGAATACTGAAAGCTGCTTAATTTTTACTACTAGGAACTTTACTAATTTCAGGATTTTATGACATTCATGAAGACAAACTTTTGCGATAGTCGCTGACAATTCATGTCACAGGACATCAGAGAAAAATTCAATGCTACAGAATTTCATGATTATCATTGAGTCACAAAAATCACAGAAATTTTCTTTTAGGAAATTAAAGCATTTTACAGCAGTGACTTGGAGCAAACCCTCCATAAATTGAACAAATTTCTCAGCAGGGATCTCACCAGCCCAATAGGAGTGTTGACCACTCAAAAATATTAATGACTTAATGAATATTAATAAGCTTGGCCATAATGCAAGTCAAAATATTATTTGTTTATTTCTCAGGTTTGAATATTATTAAAAAATTAAATAAAATAATCTGTCAATTATTTTTTATTTAATACATGTAGTACCCTCGAATTTCTCTGCACACTATGAGTAGGCCAAGATATCCATGTAGTACTTCCTACTTCTTAAAATAGATTTGAACAAACAAAAATTGGACATCAAATAAAACAAGAATTCTATAACAAATTTCAAATAGTTGGAAATGTTTTAAAAATGTAAATGCTGGAAACTAAATACTACTACAAGTTTATTATTGTTGCAATGTTAGGATGTATGATTTAGATTGGCTTCATTGTACAGGTTTTGATACAAAGTAAAGGGAACAGCCCCCTCTAGTGTTGAAATAAATAGATATTGGTACCTGATGGAATGACACTTTCTTTCTTGAAAGGACACACCCCCTCCACACGTCCTTGAGCACAGACCAAACTCTCCCCACTCGCCCCAGTAATCAGAACCTGCTTGCCTTGCTACTCTTTGAACCTGAGAAAAATAAAATTGAATGAAATAATAAATTACTCAAAGAATACCTGTTTGTCGCATACGACTTATTTACCACTTCCGTGTCACTGAGAATGTTCTAGAACCGTACTGTGTCTGGGTGGAATATTCTAGATTTTTTTTAGAAAATGGTTGAATAGGTAATAGAACACTGTAGGAGGCAATAGAAGGTAATGGAACATTCTAGAAATTTGTAGTAAGTTCCAGACTCATTATGTATGCTGATGTAATGGTCTATTTATAGACTGGTAGTATATATAGGGGAGTTGTTCAGCACTGAGGTCAGATCGGAGATCTCGTTGAATTGTATTGGAGTTTAAGTATCTAGTTATTGGAGTAGTGGAGTTTTACCACGATATTGTACTTGATGTTTGCAGAGTATAATAATAATACCAGTACCAGTTGAAACCTCATCTGTTGGCTCCGTGTTCGTATGTTATCATCGCCGCCAGGGAAGTCTTTCTGTTACTGTTGCCATTTTGGTATTTGAACCATCACACCTGTACTATACCAATTACGGTAATATTACGTTGCGTGTGACACTGTTTATAGCAGAATACACATATATTGTACACGTGTGGAATTTTGAAAGTCGCTGGTGGATAGCCAGACATTTTCATAATAAAAAGTGTGTGTCATCTACATGTATATACATTATACAATAAGTAATTTTACAGTGAATTTCATGAAAGCACAATTTAGTTTTTTTATGGAAATTTAAAAAGTAGATATAAAACAATTACCCTAGGTTTACACTTCATTTGAATCTAAAGAACAGGCTTTTATTTGCTATAGAATCCACTTTGTAATGCCCATTACCCACAAGTCAACAGTTTCCTTCAATGAATGGATGATTTACTGTGATAACACATTGTGATCGGTCAAGTTGTTTTCAACAATTATTTGAAATTATAAAACATTCATAAATATTTCATTTGAAAAACATACATGCCTTTATGAAATTCACTGTAACATAATAATCATAAAGAAAATGACTGCAAAGATTAAGGCATTGTCTGTAACCTTAAACTCACTAGAATATTCACAGACAACACAAAATATTTATTTATTTATTAAATAAAGTAACAACTTTGACCTTAGTACTGACCTAGAAAGAACAAATACATCCAACATGTACAGGTATTCTGGCAGAAAACCAACACTGCAGACAACAGCAGACAAATAAATTACATAATGACTTGATAAAGCAGGCAAAGTACAGAGAAAAAGAATATACCAGTAGCCTGTTTCACATTCAGCTTGCCTAAAGCCGGCACAATTTTTTTGTTTGTTTATAAAGAAGATTAAAATTTGGTTCACTTTTACATACCGGTAGTCAAAACGTCATTTAGATCAGCCTAAAGAGTCTTTGTTTCGTGAGAAAGCAGATTTCTTAAGTCAGAACTTTAAAGTGTCAAGCATGGCAGATATCAAATTCTCTGCAGAGTTATTCTGCATTTACTTTGCAAATCTCAATGAAGACATAGTTTGCATTAATGGAATGGTGTCTTAAATCATCCTGGAGTTTTCTTAATTTATCATGGATGGCTGGGAGAGTGGGCAAAAATGAACTGTTCAATTTGATTTTGGATGGATATGGTTTGGTTTTGACTGTTGAACAAAAACTTGACGACAGTGGTGAGACTTGACACTAGAATAAGACAATTATTAGTAAATCCAAATATAGTTTTAAGGACAACAGAAAAAATTGCAAGACTGAGTCGTGGAATTTGTGAAAATGTTTCTATTGTAAAATAAAGACGATTAACTTTATTATAGTGGAAACAAGATCACATGGTTTTAGAAAGTTTTACCCCTTTGTTGATCCACACTCGGGGGGGGGGGGGCGAGAAGAATACACTGAATTTGCATCCAACAACTGACAGACAGTCTCTTATAACAACAGTCGTAACAATATAAATATATTAGCCTTCCAATTTAAATTTGCCATTGACTGATCTCAATCAGGTGGCCGGTATTTCAATAGAGACAATTACTAGGTTTACAGATTTACATTTTATCAGATCTAAACTGTTGCTCCTCCCACCAATTAACAGCAGATTAACTCTTGTGTGTTTATAACGGTTGAAGCGAACGTGGTCCGAAGTCAAAGTTCATTAAAAACAAGTTGTATCTGCACACTTGACTGAGGTGTTTTCGTTTCTAGATGGCCAGGCCATGTTGGGGTTCCCTTATTAAACACCGTAAGTTTTGTTGGCTCAAGCTGTTAGGCTTCAATAAAATGATGTCATATAAACAAGGTAAATGCCAGGGATAACTTTAGGACTGTGAACAGACTCTGCGAACAATGACAAAAGAATGTTTTACTTTGTTGTTTGAATGTCAGCAGAACTGCAATAGTTAATTTATATCCGGACATGTTTGACACTTCATTGAATTGCATTGTACTTTACTACATCAGTATGCCTACTGTTTACTAGGTTAAAGATCGAAATGCAAATTGTTTACATAGGTACTTGGCCCACAGTAGCAGGAGCTTTTTATCTTATCAAGTATTTTTTACTACAGTCCATATCTGCCGCATATAACAAACGAAGCCATGAATTTAGTGACCATCAAACCCCTGTCAGGTCAAGGATTTTTCTTTTTTAAAAATGAAAGAATTGAACGAAAGAATTCGACATAATAAATATAAACTCTACAACAGTCAATATAACATGCATCGGTTAACCAGCTTTGATCTGGCATCGGAATGTGTTCTTCTTCAAAACCGAGGCAACAGGTGCGGCAATTGAGGTAAATCCCTCCGGTGAGCAGTAAATTGAGTGATGTACAATTACTCGATACAATGCAATGGTATAGAGGCATTTAAAGACTGACCGAGTATGTCACAGGTAATGGGGCATGAAAAAACAATCTATGTATTCACAGGGTTCCATTTTAAAAACACATTATCTATCAAGTATCACTTTTGCATAAGTAAATATTGTATTTAGAATGTAGTGTATAGACAGGCAAATTAAATATACTAGTACACCCATAGTTCCTGTTTTTGTGCGAGCTGGAAATGTGTCGCCACTGCCCGTCACACCCGACAAATTACAGACTAGTCAGTATAATTGAAGACAAATTAGGTGCGAGATCAAGACCACATAACAATGCACTGTTCTCTCAACCAAGGCCAAGACTGTTGACATCAAGTAATGTCACCGAAAACCATGAATGATTTCATTGATACCTTATAGTATTGTTTTCACAGTACTTGCCTTGTAAGCCATCTATTATGCACTGGGACAAAGAGTGTCCACAACACAGTCAGGATGTCAAACAGACAAGAGAAAAAGAAAACAGTCTTCTGTTAGGATTCTAACAAATGAGTACATTAACAATACTAGAACATATTTAATCCTAATAAAAGTACATAAATGTCTTGCCTCCACTTTACAATAACTTATAAATCATGTCAAATATTTAATCAGGGACTGTGACTGTGATCAAACAAAGTGAACCAAGCAACACATTCAAAGAATGAAAGATTCAAATGAACCTAAACTAATGTTTATAAAAACCTGACCCAAAAGTTGAATCTTTTTATAATCACCATCCTTCAACAGTGAGGGTCAGTGCTAATGTGTATCTCAGAGCCTTTGACTATGAACAGCCTTAAACTTATATTTAACTTTGAGGCTAAAATCACTATACTCACCTCTGTCTCTTCCGCGGTGGCAATATGAATTACACATACAACCAACAATAATTGCAAAGCCCTGCAAATCGCAAACATAAAATTGGATGAAGATATCAAAAACCAAACATACTTTTACATTTCGTGTTACTTTAAATCTAAATATCAGACACTGAACAAAATAGTGAAAAAATAAACAAAACTGGTACACGCCATGGTGGTAAAAAATACACCTCCGTGACGGCGCCTTCATGTACCCCACCCCAGCATGTATAAAGCTGGACGATTACAATGCTGTCGATACGAGCCACTCTTCACTGGCGAAAGCTTTAAAAAAACACACCTGGCAATGAAACACGCCAAATATAATAATACCCCTTGTTTTGGGAAGAACAAGCACGTCCTGATTCATGTCCTCATACGTGTATGAAAGAAAACTTTCTAAACTTACCTACGATACCGCATCTCCATGTTCGGTCCAGTGGTCTGTCCAAATTTCTGGATGCAACAGTGGCACTGCGGCGCTAAGAGTGACCTTTGACCGAAACATTTGCATAAAGATAGGAAGATGATCCAAGGATGATTGATTTGTTAGTGACGTCGTCAGCGGTCATTCACCATTCGCATTGTTTACGATTTTCTGCTCGAAGAATCAAAACGGAAGCGAGCCTTTCTGTAACACAAGCCACAGTAATTGTACAGGAGGAGATGCAATTCCGTGTGCAATGAGGCATCGCTTATCAATTGACTTGCCCGTGAACAAACTGGTGAAGAATCATGTTTACTGCAAAAACGAATTTCGCGCTCATCGCACTTTGCTGTGTGAGGGCGGTAGAGAACCCAAAAGCATTTTATTTATGTCATAATTTTCTCTTCGGAGATTTTCTGATGATAAATGCCTAATACAGTATATTATAGACGAAAATTGCATTTATATGATTGTACATTCCCTTCTGTGTTAGTATTCTGCAATGATTTATGATATTACCGAAGTATTGCTTTCACCAGAAACCAAATAAACCGGTAAATACTTACGTTCAGTTTCTTGTGTCACTCAAATGCTGATAAAATGACAACGATAATCCAAGATTTAATTAGGTAATTTTCAGGTGAGTTGAAGATATCGAAATATTCACCGGCGGTAATCAATGCAGGTCAAACCTCAAACTTGTGAATTCTTTTTGAAGAGCGCATTGGATTGTGGGGAAATCAATGTTTATAAACACAAACGTCACACATGCGCAGCGCGACGTCCACCGCGCTTCAAACAGAGAATAAAATATAGACTAAATGGAGAACATCTATATTACAGTTTGATAAACAACATGGATGGTTTCAACAAGAAATGGTGCCTGAAAGAAGCATTAGCCCATGTGGAGAATGGTGAATTGATGTACTCCGAACTAACTTGCGAGTGATAATGTGATCTTTTTAAAATATATTTTTATGCTTTTAATATGTCACAAGTTATCGCTAATATCGTTATCGTTAATAAAAGCTTCTTAAACATGCTATTGTAATTTAGTTTTTTGAAGATATTAAATGGTATTTTGAAAAATCAAATCAAACTAGCAAAAAATAGTGATAATCGTTAATACTTCAAGGAAAGAAGACATTGTAAAATAGTTAGTTTACGCCAAACCATTCGCTGGTTCCCAGGTTGGTGTGCAATGACACTTGCGTCGGAAACCAGGCAAGCCGAACCAATGCAAAAACGACACTTCGGGAGTCAGTTAGATAGATGTGAAATTTAATTCCAACATTTTGAATGAGAAATATTTACACATGGATAATTTTTCACGAAACGAAGATCTCAGAATTTTTTGAATTGATGTTGATGAAAAATAGCTAGTTGACAATGTGGTTCGGAGCCTGACAAAGAACGCATACAAATAATGATAGTTAGTTTACTCAGATACTTACCGTATATACTTGTACGCAATATGTGTCACTACAGATGATTAAAACATGACATGAATTGCCCCGTATTGCAGTAACATTTAGAGATACAATAGGTAAATCGCCCATTATTACAAAGTAAATAATATTTAAATATCATATACTGCCACTCTACAATAACAATACTTGAATTGACAGTTTGTACAATTGTTAAATTAATATTTTTTAAAATCTTATATGTAAGACAGAAAATGTTGCTTACTGTTTCCGAAAACCACTTATTTAAACAGTAATGAATCCCGCACAGCGCCATTTTGGATGACGAAAAGGGTCTATGGCAAAATAATTATCACATCTATCCCTTCTCTGAATCCAACAAAATAGTTAAATTCGTTTTTTGTGTTGAAATGAATTTACTTGCGAATAGAGGTTTACGTCACGGTGTGATAATGTAAAGTTATGACGTCATATAAACCTTTATTTGTGATAGTGGTGATTTTTAATATATGATTTGGTGAAAGTCATTGCTTTAATGGCGTAATTTTGCTCTCCAGATATTCACTGCCCACTTTCTATCTGACGGTCACGAGATGCATGCTGGTCTGCCTTGGGAATGGAGAGTATTTCCATACTGCGTCAAGCTGACGCTTGGCCGAACTTAGAATCATTATACAAAGTTCGCCCTCAATGGCGATGGAAACAAACAAATTGAAAACGGCTCGCAGAGCGAAAAACATAAAGTAGAGACCTTGAAGTGAAATGAATTATTTTAGTACATGTAAATACTTTCTGGAGCGTGGTCGTGCACCGAACCCGGCACCGAACTAAGCTTTGAACAGACCCTGCATTTTTTAATAAAACAAGTCTTTCTTTTAACCAGGAATTAATAATCCCTAGGGCTTTAACAACGAATTAGTGTAGTTTATTCTACAAGCCAACACAAATGTTCATTTTCTTTTATTTACCCTCGAATTAATAAAATGCTGCTACTGGACTCAATAGATATTCTAAATGAAAACACATGCATCTTGGCAGATGTCTGCTTATTAATAATAAGAAGAAAAGTTCATGCCGCGCCGAGATCGGTGGAAACCCAGCGAATTCCAGAACAATAAACAACCTACTTAACGGAAGACAATTTCAAGAAGAGAACTCCATTTCACACTTTTATATTCTTCTGCAGGAGGCACCTTTCTGTCTGAAAGCTTGTTCCATTTGGGAATACAGTGACATTGGCAGACCATGCAGCAGTTGATATCTAGTTGACATCTAGTCCAGGCCGACCAACGGTTGGCTTTCAAATGCGTCAGCCACTGCAGCGTGTACGGTGGGTGTTTTGGGTTTCATACGTACCACACGGGAGGCACTGTATGACTGGCTCAACCACGCATTTAGACACCTTGATTAATTAACTACATGTAATTAACAAAAGCAAATTGGTGTTTACCGATTGTCCAAAAACTGAGAACGAAGGTATAATGACGGAGAAGAATTTTCTGACGTGAACATCGCACAACATCATACTAGTACTAGTATATTGATTAAATAAAAACTGTTCTCAACAACATTCTTTTCTTTATATACCCTAGTTCTACATTCACTAATGAGAAGTATTATATGTGAGCTGTTTCAAATAGGGACAGAAAGTTAACTTTGTCAGAGATCCGTTGCCCGGTTACAAAAAGCCGTGCCATTTCCATTCAAATATAGTTCAATAAAACCAATCAACACACTCGCATTGATCTGTTGGTTCCCACGACGTTTCGATGACTGTCGCATATACCAGCTTACAACAGATCTTAGTATACCTAATTCGTGGGTTCGACTGTAATAGAACCAACTACCTGTGAATTAATAGTTCACAGCACACAGTGAATTTTTGTATTTAATTGAAAATGAAAGGTCAACTGACATTTGTGACAAATAATACAGTTCTGTCGTTATTTAGTTCATCCTAAGGACATGATATCTATATTTAGAAATAGGTAAGATTGTTGATATTATGTGACCCCTGGCGACGATTTATTATTCTGAACCTACAAGGTACTGAATATATCCTTCGTTTAATCAGAGACTCGTGAATTCACTCAAGTGAATGGAAATACATATATCCACACTTGATTATCTATATATTATTCTTAATTCAATCCATGTATATTTATGGGGTAATCTGTCAGGCTCTGTGATTGAACCATGAAGTTCATACGATTTGATATCAAAACTTATTCATTCGTATTATATAATTACACTACTTATCCCACAGCGTAGAATTAACACATTGCTAGTCATGGCTCTTCGATTTCAAAATTCCACAAATTACCAACATATCAAAATGTCAATTAGATAAATGTCTTTATTCAATTGATCGTTTGGCAATTAAATTTAAGCTAGAAAAATAAACAAAATATATCGCAAATACGCAGCGTAGATATCTGACCCAAATATGAATTTTATTAATACATTGAAACTTATTTTAAATGACACGAATAAATAACACACATTGTAAACAGTCGATATACATCTAACTTGTGAATCACATACAATTGGGTAATAAGATGACATACACGTGATATATCACAAAGTCTAATAAATACTACCAGCAAAGCTAGTAATGAAATGTTGACAGAAGGCGTCATGGATGAAACAGAAGTATTGAATGTGTTCATCAGTTTCCATATGCTGTATATACTAGTATATACCAGCTCCCATACATTGTGTATATTGGGGTTGGGGTTTCTGCCGTGTTTTGGGAACTCAGCAATCGTAGATTAGCTTCATAAGTTGGTAGACTAGAGGTAAGTACGGTAATCGGTACCAGGCGATAAGGACGTTCACTGAGATGAGATACAGATAGTCCGCTTAATAGGTTTAACAGTAAATCCAATCCATGTCTGATCTAATATAATCACTAACCATAAACGAGTCCAGAATGATGATTAATCAGAGTAGTAAGATTGGGCGGTATGTTGACATCCCGGGGGGTCACTGGCCTTTCAGTTTGGTAGGGGTGTGCGGCAGGGAAATAAAACCCCAGACTCCAACATAGACCATTTTCACCTCAAAAACCGTACCCGATTATAGACCAAATAGTGATTTTGTATATCCCATCAGAGACCAAATTGTCACTAAATTTATTCAGTTATAGGTTGAATCCCATCGCCCGGATTCATTAATTAAAGTACTAAAGCGAAATACATGGAAATTAAAAAAACAACAACAGATAATCATTCCCCAGGCTCCATCCTAGGCAGGCAAACCTGATATTGGACCTAAATGCAAGCAAATCTATACGCCAATATAGACCCAACAGCTAAAAACGTCCCCATACTGTGATTTGCATTAACTGACCCCGGGCCGATAGTCCATTTGACTGCAGCTCCCCTCGTCAATCTAGCTGATGTTAATGTCGACTCACTCGTTGTTGCTTTAGTAATCCTCCATACTCGAATACAGTTCTTACCCTGAATAAACAAAAGCAAGCAAATTGCATAGTTTCTAATTTTAGACATATATAAACTTGGTCATGGATTGGTCATAGTTCAAACTCATTGTCAGTTTCGATTGAGCAGTAAATAACAATTGTCCCTATTTACAATGTAGCAAAGTACAAAGAA